TTGCCTCCAGGTCTCATGCAGAGTTTTTGGTTGTTTTGCATGAACCACACGTTTGAGATCTCCCCAGAATTGCTTGATATTAAGGTCAGGAGACTGTGATGGCCACTCCAGAACCTTCATCTTTTTCTGCTGTAACCACTGGAGGGTCAACTTGGCTTTGTGCTTAGAGTGATTTTATACTGGAAAGCCCGAGTGTCCCACGCGCAGCTTTCCTGTAGAAGACTGCAAATTGTCTGCCAGTATTTTTTGATAACATGCTGCATTCATCTTGCCATCAATTTGTCACAAGATTCCCCATGCCTTTAGAGCTCACACACCCCCCCCCCCCCAAAACATCAGTGAGCCACCACCATGCTTCACAGTGGGGATGGCATTCTTGCTGCTGTTGACCTCTCTCCAAACATAGCTCTTATGGTTGACCATAAAGCTCTATTTTGGTCTTGTCACTCCTGATTACAATGTGCAAGAAGCAACCTGTATTTCTACTGAGGTTACTTGTGGGGTTTTCTTTGTATGCTGAACAATTCTTCTCTCAGTTGTGGCTGCGATCTTTCTTGGGCTACCTGACCTTGCTTTGGTATCAAGAGATCCCAGAGTGTTCCACTTAATTACTTAAAAAGTAATTGAACAATACTGACTGGCATATTTAAAGCTTTGAATAGCTTTTTATATTCTTTTCCATTTTTATAAAGTTCTACTGCCTTCTTATGCAGGTCTTTTGACAGTTCTTTCTGCTCCCCATGGCTTAGTGTCTAACCTGCTTATTGCATCCACGTGAGAGCTAACAAACTCATTGAATATTTATACACAGATACTAATTGCAGTTTAAAAAGCCACAGAAATGGGAAATTCACCTTTTATTTGCCGTTTTACCCGGGGTGTGTCACTTTGTGTGTCTGTACCAAGGTCAAACATTCCATGGTATGTAAACTTTTGATCATGGCCATTTGGGTGATTTCTGTTATCATAATTTAAAAAGAAGCCAAACAACTGTGACAATAAATGGATTCGTTGAATCACTATCTCTAAATTAAAGACAGGGTTTTTTTTTTTTTTTTTTTTTTTGAAGGATCAGTCATATTTTCACTATCAATGCCAATATTTCACGATTTCTGCCAGGATATTCAAACTTTTGAGCACAACTGTAGAAGCCCTCCCAGCCAAGCCTGACCTGCAACAGTTCTTTCCGAGCGGTAAAATAATTATTTAAACAATAACTGCATTTTCTTAGAGCTCACACCACTCATCTAGATTATAGAACTGAGGCCCAACAAACTTAAGGACATTTTTACATTAATTAGAATTACTGAAAGATTGCTCCTACAGACAGGATCGCCAATTACAATGGTTATTTTTTACAATTGGATGACAATGAAAACCAAGTAGATGACCTAACATTAGAATCAGAGGCCTTCCAGAAACTGAAAGGGCTTTGAAAGCCAATCTGTGATGGCTAACAATGTACCCCCAATAGGCCTGTATGAAATACTCTATAGCAGGGGTCTCCAAACTTTCTAATCAAACGGACAGTTTACCGTCCTTCAGACTTTTAGGGGGGCCAGACTGTGGTCATTGGGAGTAGAAAAGGTCCCAACTTTAGTTTGAAAAAAAACAATTGCCCATTTTTTTGTCAGTTGATGGAATTGTGCCTCATCATTGGTGTCATTGGGCCCCATTGTTGGTGCCGTTTGGAGAAATTGTGCCACTCTGTTGGTGTCATTGGTGTCATTGGGAGGAATAGTGCCCCATTGTTATCAGTGGATTAAATATTGCTCCAAGGGCCAGATTAAATCAAAGTAGACGGCTGCATCAAGCACCTGGGCCACAATTTGGAGACCACTGCTATAGCATATTTGTTCTACATTATTAAACTGGTCGCTGTCCTACCTTACCTTTTGTTGGAGCTTCAGGACTTTAGAGCCCTTTCAAAAATGTAAAATGAACACAGTCAAATCGGAGATTATGTTCCTGAAATCCTACTCCTTTGCGAGCCAAAATAAATCATTGACCTGGGCATCCAGCTGGCTGGCTCTCACCACCTATTCGACCTATGCTCCGTTATTAAAAACAGATCTTGATAAGTGGAATAAGGTCTTGTTTACATCAATGCACAGAATCAACATGGTTCAAATAATTGTGCTACATAGAATTTTGGTTTCTGTTGCAGATTATACCCATCTCTGTCTACAAAACATTTTTCCCTCAGATTAGACATACTATTGTTTACTATATTTGGCATGGGAAACAACTAGATTATTTTACAAAAATCCTTATCAGACCCAAAGATGAAGGGGGAGAGCCTTCCCAGCATACTATTTTACTCTAAAGTGGTTGCCCTAACCAGAATATTTAACTGGAATTCTATATTAAATAAAGTAGATGGGTTACCATAGAAATATCCATGGCAGGACGCAACTAGGATACCACCGCAGACCAAAGGTCTACCAAAATTTGTAACAGGTTACATTTTAATGGGTATTATGCCCCCCCCATCCCTCAGACATCCCTCCTGGCCCTCTTGGGAGGATTCCTCTGATTTCCCCTTTTAGAACACTTGTCATTTCTTTGTTTCTGGGCCATGGATGGAAAGACAAGTTGTGGTAAATTTATCTGAGACAGGTGATTGCTTCCCTTGGCATACCTATGGCTTCAGTATCGTAGGTTCCCCTTTAGGCACATGAAGATGTACACCGAAAGAGAGTCTATACTTTTACAGAGAGTGGGTGTCTGAATGGGACCTCACTCTAACCAATCGCCAGAGAGCCTAAATCATTTGCCTGATGCAGACCTTTTCCCTGGCATCCAGGTGGTACAACATCCCAGCCTAGATATGTTTTTACTTTATTTTTTTAATGTTGTATTTCTATGGGGATGTCATAGATTTCTTCTTTTTGTGTCTGCCATCTGCTGGAGGAGTTGTGCCCATTGTGGTACATTCCTACACTTGTGTTTGGACTGTCCCAAAAAGCCATTCATATGAGACATTAATGGTGACGCCCTACCAGATGATCCCATACCTATTCTCTTTAATCATACCTCTCTCCCCAAAACAAGCATATAAATTGAACATCACCCTTCACTTGCTAGATGTGGCAACAAATCTTATCCCCTTTCAATGGAGAGAAGACAAACAAAAGTTGATTTTTGAATTGGTCATTAACATGAATGATTGACATAATGGAGAGATTGGTCCATCTTTGTAAAGACCAACATATCAAGTTCTACAATATCTGGGCCACCTGGCTACATCATCTCTACTGGGGCCAAGACACCTGCTTTGACTATATTCTGTATAAAGTCTAATATGATCCTGTGTTTAGCCTAACCTATTCTTTCTACCTGCCCTCCAGACCAGTTCCTCCCCTTCTCTACCTTTTGACCTTCCTCCCCTCACGATTAGCCTACCCCTGCTGTTGTGTGTTTTTATTCATAAAACTGAACAAAGGAAACTGCTCTCAGGCACGTTTGATGTACAATGACTTTTAATCTGCCAAAATGAAAATTGTACCGCACCATTTTAGCCCCAGTTCACATAAATGTGAATTGGATGTGTTTTGAAACGCATCCGATTCTTATGATGTGTGAACCAAACCAGCTTTTTGTGGAGCCAGTTCACATTTTTGTGGGCTGGCCGCAGTGCGATGTTGTGTGTTTTTTTTTTTTATTTTTTATAAACAGATACAATTTTCAGGCTGGTTCAAGTGCAATTTCCATTTTCATAAACTTTGACAATTTGCATCTGCACCACCTGACTCTTTACAAATCACATTAAATATTATATTGAAGTATCTATATCAACCCCCTTTGTTTTAATATAAAGATTACATAAACTTGCAGTGTTGCTCTTCATTTTTCCACCTCCAAAATACAGCTCTGGAATTTCAACTGGTGAGGGGGCATTTATTCCAATAAATACACAATTTTGCCACTTTGACATTTTTAATTAAAGGATAAGTTTACTTTTTTTAGGGTGGAACATGTAACATGTTCCCGTAGCTGCAGCTGCCACCCACCGCCCCCCCCTTTCTCTGACAGATAGTATGGAAAGAAATTTCCCCATACTATCTGTCAGATTTGAAAACTGCATGGCCATGCGGGGCTCCGCCCACACAGCCGCATCACTCATTCAGAGTTCTATGAATGAGTGCCTACAAGTCCCAGCAGCCTTAGTGACTGTCAGCTTATAGTTATTAAATGAGTTACCCTGGCGCTGTAGAGCACTGTGGTAGTTAATTGAAGCTTCCTGTCAGTATATCTGCTTGACCGTACATCCCGTATGGCGAGCAGACATTCTGATAGGTCTGCAGGAGACCTCCATGGATCTACTGATCGCTGGTGCAATGCTTTACAGTCTCCTTTGGACAAAAATAATAAATGCAAAAAAATGTTTTGTTTCTTTACATTCTCTGTATTTCCTAATCTTGGAGAAATCCGCTTGTTGGAAATTTGATTTACATGTTTTTGGAGGGAAATTCTTGGTGGTGGGGGGGGGGGCGATTAGCGGCCAGGTGTATGTAAGCTCTAACGAGCAGGGCCCTCTGTTTCCTCTTGTACCAATTGTATTGTAACAGTTATGTCTACCTTCATTTTGTAAAGCGCTGCGCAAACTGTTGGTGCTGTATAAATCCTGTATAATAAGTGAATAGCATTGTGAATATATGGCAACATCTCACATCTTTTAAATACTGACTAACAAGGTGCTCAAATGTTTGCTCATTTCTTAGGTTGTTTATTGAATGCATTACATTTACCTTAAAGTGTTACTAAACCCACAACAGTAAAAATCAGTCTGTATATGCAGTAAAGCATGCTTGTTATACTCACAGTGGAACATAAGGGGTTAATCCTTTGCATTGTGTAAAAAGGCTGTTTGATCCTGTCTTCTCTGACCCTCCCCTTCTTCTACAGTCTCCAATCAATCTGCTGATAGCACAGAGCTCTAGGAGTCACTCTGCACATGCTCAGTTTTTTTTTTTTTTTTTTTAAGTTTTATATTGCCCATGCTCAGTTTAGGGTGTATTGCTAGAAAGGGTTTTTTTTTTTTTTAAAATATATATTTGGGAGAGTGCATGTTATCAGCACAGGGCTAATCAGCACTGTCCAGACACGGTTCAGGGGTTATGGAGCCTCATAACCCCTGAGCAGAATGAAAACTCCTATAAGCTTTAACCACTGTTCAGCAGCACACTGATAGAAGTCACAAAACTGCTCCAGCTGCTGATGAGAAAAGATATTTAGCAGTTTATTTACCAAAATAATTGCATTTCTATGTTCTGTGTACTGTGGGAGACCAGATATAGTGAATGCAGGGTCCTGGGTTTAGTAACACTTTAAAAAATCTAACTTGTACAGAGCTGATCAAGCTTCCCTCTGTATGGTAATGCTCAGATCCACCCTTTGGCTGCTCAGGTATTGAATACTCTATTAATGAGAGGCAGAGAAGCTGTTTGCCTGTGCTTTATGCCATACTGGAAGTACCAGGAGCTTTGCAGGTCTGTGAGTCAGGCACCTTATTAACTTACTATGCAGTTGCAGTCTTTGTTTTTGCCCGCAAGTTTACTTCTAATTACTTAATTCTGTAAACAAATGCTTTCATTTTATATGGCATTCTTAAGATGCCAAATATAAATCACACACTTGTGTTTGTATATAAAAATGTTAATTTTTATGTTTATACAAAGTCACAAATCAAACTGATTATATCCATAAAATCCACGACGACATGATATATATTAAAAGTTACTAACTTTTTGATTTGCTCTATTTTTAAAGAAGAAATAAAATGTATCTGAGCACCACAAACCTGAAAACATTATTTAATTCATTTTTAATATTGAAAGCAAACTCACATATCCGTCCATGTCTCCATTCTTTATTTAGTTGAGAAATCACTTTCAAGAATTCCCCCTTGTATTTCTAGCCATAGCTATCTTGAGTAAGGGCAGATCATTCATGTAAAATTTACTTCCTGGAATCCATCTGCCTTTAGCATAGGAGGCAGGAGAGTGTGCTTAACTGAAAGAGAACAAAAAATGTGTGTGTAACTTGCGAGCCACTAAAATATTCCTCTGGATTGCTAACATCACATACTCAAACTGTGTAAAAAAGACCGTATAACTAAAAAATATTCCGCTCCCAATCTCTAACAAACATAAATTAGTGACTTCAAATTATATATCCATGAAAAACAAACAATGTACCATACATAAATAAATGAATATCAAGTTAAATGTGATGTGAATCAAATCAAATAAAAAACAGTCCCATTACTCAAAAAAAAAAGGATTTGTGATGACGTGATTCAAAACACACCAATTGTGACTTTTCGTGAATCCTTAAATCATTAAAGATGTGCGCTCACCTCCTTACAAGCCTAACAGGCTTAATACACTTTTTGTTCACATACATGGAACCTGCTAGAATTTGCTGCAGCATGGAATGGATGTTGGATACCTCCTATGTATTCCACAATGCTTCTCTCCTTATACACTCGTTATCCTTGCAGGGATCTCTCCCTCCTTCAGCTGCTCCGGATCCCCTGCTCACTCCTCTTAGATGTTCCTCAGTGTCATGAAGCAAAAAAGAAATGTGGACATAGTGCTTTATCCTTATAAGACTTGCCTTTATTTAAATGCTCAATATATGCACTCACATTGAATAAAATTAAAAAGCGCTTTGGTATTAAAAAATCCTTTGCCTGTGTGTGCCCTGCACAGCATGTATGCTCTCTGGTGCCGAGTGACGTCGTAGCCCCACCCCTACGCGTTAGGCCATAGGTCACGTGGCTTCATCAGGGAGTTGTAATTGTCGGCGAGTAAGGCAAGTCTTATAAGGATAAAGCGCTATGTCCACATTTCTTTTTTGCTTCATGACACTGAGGAATATCTAAGAGGAGTGAGCAGGTGATCCTGAACAGCTGAAGGAGGGAGAGATCCCTGCAGGGATAACAAGTGTATAAGGAGAGAAGCATTGTGGAGTACATAAGAGGTATCCAACATCCATTCCATGCTGCAGCAAATTCTAGCAGGTTCCATGTATGTGAACAAAAATGTGTATTAAGCCTATCTGTTAGGCTTGTAAGGAGGTGAGCGCACATCTTTAGTGATTTAAGGATTCACGAAAAGTCACAATTGGTGTGTTTTGAATCGCGTCATCACAAATCCCTTTTTTTTTTTTTGGATTTTTTTTTTTTTTTTTTTTTTTTTTTAATTTGATCCACATCACATTTAACTTGATGTTCATTTATTTATATATGGTATATTGTTTGTTTTTCATGGATATATCATTTTGAAGTCACTAAATTTATAAGTTTGTTTAGAGATTGGGAGCGCAACATTTTTGGTTATATGGTCTTAACTGAAAAAGAGCCCCTCCTGGAATGTATGACAAAGACGAACTCTGCTTTGCTCAGTGGGGGATCTATCTGCTAATACCCCATTGAGCAGGATTTTTTTTTTTTTTTTTTTTTTTTACATCAGGCCTGATTGGACCCATTTACTCCTGTCGGTCCATAGGGCAGCATAGACCATTCAATCAGGTAACAAGACAGCCGCTAAGGAAATGGTAAACAAAAAAGTTTAAAACAAGGAAATGTCTATTTGCTAATCCTAGCAGCCTAAGGATTTCAAATAGTTAATATTGATTGAGAGAATTTAGTTCCGCTTTAATATTCATCATGATGCTTTTACATTTGTTAGTAAATCTTGAATCCCATATTTCACCTTTTGTGGTTGTTTCTCTGTGTTGTCCTTTTTGACGCACTTACTGTATCTGTTCTCACTATATTATTTAAATTCTTTCCAGTGCATGTAAAACTTCTGATGTCCATGAACATCTCGTATCTAGTGCAATAGTGCAATTGACTCCTTACCATGTCATCAGCTAATTTCTTTCATATCTAGTTAATATTAGGCAGGATTGAAATACTTCATCCTATATACAGTAGACTTATTTTACCCTTTCTTAAAGAATATGTAAACCTTCACCTTGTGAAACCACCCATTTAGTTTAAAATATTCCCTCTGTTCTCAGCTGCATAAGAGCTGGGGGAGGAGGAACAGAAACTCACTGATCCTCCCAGTGAAAGGATGCGCAGAGGTGTGTGTCAATACAAGTCTGATCCCGTCATAGAGTAATGACCATGGTGTGTTCTCCTGCTTAGTGTGGTCAGTTTTTAATAGGAAAGCAGAGGGACTGGCAGGAACACCAGGGATTTCACACAAAGGAAGCAATACAAAGAGAACAGGATGTTTTTTAACCGCTTCCCGACTGCCCTATAGCAGAACTACTGTTGCAGGGTGGCAGGGCTGTGCAAAATCATGTGTGTGTGTGTGTGTGTATATATACGTGATTTTGCATTTCCTCTTAGGGGGCGCTCACCACCCTACCCGCGCTGCCATTGGCTGCTGCAGATGTCGATCACCAGGTCCTGGGTGGAGATTCCTCACCGGCACCTGGCGACTGCTGACTATCACTGAGAGGGGAGAAATACACAGCAGTATGTTCCCCTAGTAAAGCGCACACCGTTAAGCCTTTGGTCACCCCAGATATTAACTTCTTCCTGCCCAGTGTCATTAGTACGGTGTCAGTGCTTTTTATTAGCACTGATCACTGTATTAGTTCCATTGTGATGTCAGTGGCAGTTAGTCAGTCCCCTCCCCCCAGTGTCAGAATGCCCATCGCCGCAATTACTAGTAAAAAAAAAAAAAAAAATCCAGTGTGTGTAATATGTGTGTATGTATGTGTGTATATATATGTGTATGTATGTATATGTATGTGTATGTGTATATATATATATATATATATATATATATATATATATATATATATAAATATAAAATCCTTTTGTAGATGCTATAACTTTCACGTAAATCAATTAATTTACATCTATTGGGATTTTGTTTAGCAAAGACATGTAGCAGAATACATTTTGGCCTACATTTATGCTGAAATTTGACTTTTTTTTTTTTTAAATGTTTGGGTTTTTTTTTTTTTTCAAAATTGTCAGTCTTTTTTTGTTTTATAGCGCAAAAAATAAAATAATGCAGAGGTGATCAAATACCACCAAAATAAAGCTCTATTTGTGGGGAAAAAAAGGACATACATTTAATTTGGGTGCAGCGTTGCATTACCGCGCAATTGTTAAAGTAATGCAGCGCCATATCACAAAAAATGGCCTGGTCAGGAAGGGGGGTAAATCCTCTGGAGGGCAAGTGGTTAATACTAGTACATGGTACAGCAGGCACATATCAGGAGTATGAAATGTTGGGTTTAGGTACTCCTAAAGTTGGTTATAGACAGACATAATTTTTATCTTCTCTCAGCAGGCTAAATTTAAAATAAAAAAAACACAAGATTCCTCCATCCACACAAATAAGGTGGTTGGAGGAATATACCCCCCTCCCCCCTTCCCAGCCAGAACATTGTATTCAGTGGGACATGCCACACTGTGAATACTCTGATCACCATCTGCAGCTCCTGATAAAGAGGTTTTCCAGCATGTCCCTTTTGACAGAACTCATTTAGCCCGGGTTCATATATATGCGGTGCGGTATATCGCATGTGATTTGCACAGGAACCGCACCGCATTCCTGTGCAAGACACGTGATTTGTGTGCAGTGCAATTGGAGCCATACATTTTGTATGGCTCTAATCCTACTGCACCCACATCAGAAAGGTGCAGAACCATTTTTTTTTTTTTTTTTTTGGTACTAGAATCGGATCGCATGGGTAGTCACACCTATGCAATCTGATTCTGCACATCGCACCGCTTTTTGCAGACCGATTTCGGGGTGATTTTGGGGTGTTGTTAACTGGGTGCGATTCTGATGCGGTAGGTAATTCTCACAGGAAACGCTGCAAATTCCGCACCGCATCAATGTGAACCAGGGCTTAACCATCTCCCGTCCGGCCGTTGTATATAAAGGGCCGGACGGTGGCAGTGCAGGGTCGGGTGGCCGTTGATAAACCGCCTCCCTGCACCCTGCTTGTGCGCGCTCCCTGGGAGCGCGCAGCACCAAGATCCGGTGCCCGCTGTGTCCTCCGGACACAGTGAAACGCTGATCATCGGACGGGACCTCTGTACGAGGTCCCGATCATGTGATCACTGATTGGCCAATCACTGATCACATGCAAAGTAGTAAGCAAGATGTTACTTGTGACATCATTGCTTACTATGTGTGAAATCTGTGAATTATCACAGAGGTCACATGGTACAAGGCTATTCACAACAGCCTTGTACCATGTGACAAGCTGTGACCAATCACAGCTCACTCAGTAGTTTTCAATGGCTGCAAGAATGCAGACAGAGAAAGAGA